ACCGTAAACACACATTTGAAAAGCACAAAAATGCACATCACACAAACCAAAAATTACCTTCAAACAAAAAACTTCATTTTCCTTCACCGTTGGCAAATAAGCTATAGGTTGAAGTGCAAACAATGTGTTGCACTCAACAGTCCAAGGCTGCCAAGCTTGGAGTGATTTTTTTGTTCTCGCCTCTCGCAACTCAATTCACGAACCTCAAATTTAATTACTAGTGGATTTGTTTTTTTCTATTTACAGAGACTTGACTTCCAACAACTTCTCATGGCAACTCTCGATGCTTTCATCATTGAGTTTCTCATTACAATTGTGAGCTTTTTATCCAGCTACCTTGCTATCTAGTTCCTATAGCCTCTGTATACAATGGTACCCTCTCATGTATTTCCATCATCACTTCGCAATGAATGATAGAGTTTTCTAGTATTTCAGATGGGGTTATAAAGCATTTGCAAGCATTAGCATGATCTCCTTTTTTTACACCCACGTACATTACATCTACCATACAGCTACCATTGTTTGTCTTGTTGCATCAGCTAGAACACCCTGATGTCTTTTTCTTAGATTTATTGCGAACAACAAGTTCCGTGGTTCTTTTCCTACCGTTCTGCAAGATTTGGAAAACATTCAGGTCATGTATGTATTCTGTAGTACCTGTTAGGCATGAGCACAGAAACGAACCAAATCGGTTTGTTTTTTGCGCTCTCAAACCACCACTACGGGCTCTCAAACCACTATAGTTCGACATAGACATGTTAAAAAATATTATCTGTACCTGTATTTTCTGCCTTTTATTTGTTTTTCATGATAGAAGACACCCGACAATGGCTGGCACAAGCCATGCCCGTCATATGCTCATGCCTATTTCAGATGAGAAAATTCAGTACAACAAATCGATCATCTTGAGCTTCATCTTTTGTGTGAAACAACGTACTGCAAAAACGTTAGCTTCGGTTTTGGGTGTTGCTTACCACATTCACTTGAGCACCAAAATCCACTGTTCTACTGCATCTTAAGATGTGCATCATGTGACAAACTGGCATGCTTTGTGTTCTGGTTTGTGCTGCAGCGACATATGTCAAAACAAGTTCTCCGGTTATATACCCAGTAGCAACTCTAAGCTCCAAAATCTGCAAGGCCTGTAAGTCGTCGTACATTGGTTATGTATTTCTTGAAGCAGATATTTCAAATGATACGTTCTAACTGTCAGTAGATCTGCACTGTGGATGCCCGATTGATCCTGGAGAGGGTTACAGGCGCGTTCGCCTGGGGGGTTATGGGCGCACTGACCGCTACTGAAACAAGCCCTTTTATCCCAATGGTCTAGTGGTTGGGATTCTGACATGGTATCAGAGCGGTCTCGGGTTCGATTCCCGGTGTATGCACATGTAGGCCGTTGCCTCTGTGCTTAGTCCTGGGCCTCCCATTGTGGGGGGGTGTCAGTAGATCTGCACTGTGGATGCCCGATTGATCCTGGAGAGGGTTACAGGCGCGTTCGCCTGGGGGGTTATGGGCGCACTGACCGCTACTGAAACAAGCCCTTTTATCCCAATGGTCTAGTGGTTGGGATTCTGACACTAACAATGGTCAGGAGCCAGGACCCTCGCGCCCCTGCATCATGTTCCACTTCCAACATCAACGTCCCTCGAATCACAGGACCCTATGCAAAAACAACTTTTATGGGGAGGTGCCTATGGAAGTCTTCAAACTTCCCAACCTCGTTGAACTGTAGGGAGTGATTCATTCGTTTCTCTGCTCGATTCTACTCTTCCTTCCCTCCTCCTTTCCCTCATCCCTTCCTTCCCATCACTCGTCTTTCTCCCCACGTCTCTGCAATATGCATCTTGTGAATCCCTGCCCCCTTGGGCCATAACGGGCTGCTATAGAACCACGTTTTCAAGGTCAAGTGAGCCACACAGTATGGTTAAGTCCTATCCGGAATTTAATGGCCACGAATGTAATTTCTGGCTGCATGCACAAGTGGATGTATGCCTGTCATGACTGCTCATGAGATCCTCTGCCTGTTTTTTTTTTATTATTATTATTTGCAGTCATGACTGCTCATGAGATCCTCTGCTCATGAGATCCTCTGCCTGTAATTTCTGTACTTTTCCTTACCTCGTTTTACGTCCAGAGATTTAGCATGGAACAAACTGAGTGGAGACTTGCCTAACACTTTATCTTCGAAGACTCTCGCGAATCTGTAGGTTTGAAAGTAATGATCCGACATCTGCTTAAGTTTTGTCAATCGTGTCAGAAGTTGAGCTAAAATGAAGTAGTATAATAGACCTCAAGGCTAGAATGAGCAAGTACAGGTGTTCAACCGCTTTGGGACAAGCCGGGTCGAACCGGCGACCTGGCCGGAGCGAACCAGTTCGGTTCGTAGCTTATAGGCTTATGGAGACTACGCCCAGCTATTTTGCGTTTGGCAACCTATATATTAGTGCAAAACATGGTTTGCATGTCAACTTTCCACCTATTTGCCAATGGCGAAAGAAATAACAGATATTTTTGTTTGAAAGTAGTTTGTGGTATGTGAGATGCACTTTTTTTTGCTGTACGTGTATGTGTTTATGGTTTGTGAATTGCCTTGGCGTTTCATGAGTTATGTGCATTTTAGTGAGGGGCTGAGTTCATGAGTGTTGATGAATGTTCATGCTGTTTTGAGCGTTTTCGTGAAAGTGCACGACTAGTGAATGTTCATGAGTTTTGGTGGACCTTAGCGGGGTGTTCATGAATGTTCATATGCTGTCCATGTAAATTCATGAGTGCCCATGTATTGTCATGTGTGTTCATGAGTTTGTGTGATCAAAGTTCATAAGTCTTCATGGATTTTCATGTGTGCTCCTGAAAAGTCAAGGGTGTTCACGAGGGCTGAGTGTTTTTGCCCCTCGAAATATCTCATAACCCTCCATCAAGAATCAGACGGGATATCTGGACCGCGAGTGGGGTCCAGATATCACGTTTTGCACTCAGGGATCGTGTGTGTGGCTTGTACTGTTGCAAGCATGCGCAGGGGGCACGATCTTAGCAGGACAGAGCGATAATCATCGCTCCGCCCACGTTAGGACAGCACCCCTTAGGGGTGCTTGACGGTTCAAGGAGGTGCCGGCCGGGAAATCCCGAAAGGGTGCGTGGGATAACCCTAAGATTTCAGTTGAAAAACTGGAATCCCAAGCCTTGACTTTTCTGACGTGGCGAATAGGTTTTTTCCCCCAGAAAGTCGCGCATTTTGTGCGATGATTTTGTTATAGGTACAAAATGGCGAAAAGTCGTTTTATAGCTGGAAAACAGTATATTTACACGAGCCATCATGATTTTTCATGACAATTCATGAACGCTCATGAGAGGCGTCAGCAGAGGCATTTGGAGGGAGTGCAAATCGAAGGCAGTTTTCCCAAGGACTAGAATCAAGCAAGTTACAAAGAATTAGGGCAACCGTTTTCCAAGGCAACCTGATGAATGCAGTTTAATAACTCTTTATAATTTTCCTTTGCTTGTGCTTTAGGCTTTTATACATGTGTGCTTGTGCTTACCTGTAGTTAGAGCTAGGCATGGGCGTGGGACCCGGGCGGGTCGGGTTGGCCCGACACGACCCGGATTTCTGGCCGGGTCGGGTCAGACTTCTCAAAATGCTGACCCGGCTGCGTCAGGTCGGTTATACCTGGCCATGTCGGGTCAACCTGTGACCCGATTCCTGAAATCAGGCGGAGTCAGGTCGCATGTTGGCTAGATTGAGTCTAGAAGAATCGGGCAAAGAAGAAAGCTAGAGCTCGAAAACGAATTTGAGTCTATATTTTGCCTTCAATGGGACCCAGGTGTCCCAAGTCGTGGTCTGCCAAAAACTGATGACAGTTGAGTAAATGCACATCTCTACTGGGGATGGGTGATGACTGATTGTGCAAACTCTATTTGGATTCACTCGTTCGATTTCACGTGTTCCCGCACACTTTGGGGTGGTTTTCTAAACACATTTTGCTGCCACAGGAAACTTCAAGGTAATGAGTTTTCAGGTGAACTGTAAGTATTTGATGTACATTTTGTACAATGAAAAGCGTCACATGAATTACCTCAAAGCAATGCCTTTGTATCAGCTTGTCGTCACTGTGTTCATTGTTGGACTACACTTAATCCATGTGAATATTGATCACACACATGAGGACATGGAAAGGTGTGCCAACTTAGCAACATAGGTCGCTTGTGTGTCTTCTAATCTTGAGATCATATGCCCGTGGAGCTGCCATGCAGTGCTAAGTCACTTGCTGCGGGCACTCAGGTGTTGCGCGACCTTGTATTGCACACTTTGTAACCTTGTATTCCAGGCACATTCCCACATACCTCGCTTCTCCTTCCGCGGCACTGTTGCATAAGCTAATTGTTGTAGAAAAACATCATCACATGTGCTCCTTCGAACCTCCCTGAATATGCAACGTCCAGCTGTATGTCATGCATAAACTGCTCAAACCAAACCCATCAGAAAATAATCAAGCATGGTAAATGACTAGGCAGCAGGTTGCGACCCCAAATCGCATGTTTCACACCCAATACTCGTACTTCCGCTTTGTTTTATTTCAATTATGCAGAGCTCTGGGCAGCAACAACCTCACTGGCTCTATTCCAGATACTATCAGCAAACTCTCCGCACTGTCTATACTGTAAGCCATGCACATCATATCGGATAGTTTGAAGTAAAGGCATTTTTTTACTAAAGCATTTGAAACCATGGGACGTAATCTAGGCATGAGCATGGGGCCGTGCCGAACCAGCTTACAAGGAGCCGGGCGGAGCCGAGACCAGAACAAAGTTGGGGCAAGCTGATTTTTCCATGAGGTTGGCCCATTTCTCTTCAATACGGGCGATCTTGGCAAGCTTGTATTCACTCATCAGCTCGTCCTCTCTGATCAGCTGGCACTTTGCCCACCGAATCTGCATGAATGTGGTGTTTCATGGCAGCGATGAAACACTGAAATAACACGACCAAACAACATTGGGTCTGCCTACTCAGGATTAGACGCCGGACGTTCCACGCCGAAGATCATCGTGTTGCTCATGTTGTGACTCGTGACCCCATCATCACTCGTGACCCCATCATCACTCGTGACCCCATCATCACTCGTGACCCCATCATCACTCGTGACCCCATCATCACTCGTGACCCCATCATCACTCGTGACCCCATCATCACTCGTGCCCCATCATCACTCGTGACCCCATCATCACTCGTGACCCCATCATCACTCGTGACCCCATCATCACTCGTGACCCCATCATCACTCGTGACCCCATCATCACTCGTGACCCCATCATCACTCGTGACCCCATCATCACTCGTGACCCCATCATCACTCGTGACCCCATCATCACTCGTGACCCCATCATCAATGTGACCCCGGCAGTTCGTTGCCCAACAACCACATCTCTGGATCCATCCCTGCAGCTCTGCTGGCCCTGACAGGTCTAGAGGCCATGTGAGTTCTTGGTTCATTCTCACAAAATATCCTCCGCTGTTGAATTCAGCCTTCTAACTTTCTTTTTTACTTATTTCTTAACTATCCTGCTTACTTCACACCGTTGTCAAGCATTGCCTCCCAAGTGCCTGCCATGCACACACATGCATATGGCAGAGACCTCACATTCAACAGCATCTCAGGATCCTTGCCCTCTGCCCTTGGAACCCTCTCCAACCTTCGTACCCTGTATGTGCTCACCATATTCTGTGTTCACATGCCATGGCACGTCTTGCTGTGCATGTCAAGACGTGTGAAGCCATGTAAAGTCATGTCAACACATGATGTGCATTAGGCATGAGCAAAACCCGAACACAAACACGTTCTAGTTGAACACATGCCGAACACGTAATGGGGTTGAACCTAAAACTACCCCGTGTGTCCGACTGCAAAGTCAAACACCGCATATTCCTGTTTGATCTGACCTTGTACTTTGGCTACAGTCACAAGGCATTTTCCCTGTGAAATCTACATCAATTCACCGTGGCTATTGGACTGGACGGTATGGGGATTCACCATGGCTATTCGTGTGCGGCTACTAAGTTTGACGTGACCATTTGCTCCAGCTGGACATGTTAGGTTCGACTCGGCTTGATTGTTTTGATTCAAACCTAATTGAACCTGTTAAACCCGATCATGTAATCCGAGCCATGAGCAAATGACCCAACCGACCCATTTTGGTTCCTTGCATTATCGAACCAGGCCATTTCGATAATGAACCGAGGTGGTTCACTAACGAACTGGTTTCAGGCACCTCGATTGGAGGTTGTGTTTTTTTTTTTTTTTTTTTTTTTTTTTGTTACTTAACAAACCGAATTGGCTTGCCGGACCGGGCCGGTTCGGATTTCCACATGTTAATGAACAGTTTCACCTGTATATGGCTGACATTTCCCTAAGTGTTTTGTACCACAGCAATCTCTAAGCACAAAAATTTGGGGCACATGGGACGCTCGGGCACCTGCAATTAACAAAAAAAGATAGCACAAAAATATATAAACAAACCGAGAGTGTGTAAATCGAAATGTAATAAAAATAAGCCTTAATTAAGCAACTATCAAGAGTTATGAGAGATTTCAGCTTGACAAACTAACCCTATGTTAACGTTCGGCCATGAATAGGGTCATTCTCACCAGAAACGTAAGGAAAAACTGAATAATTGGCCTTGCCTCGAACTGGGAGCCAGAGTCGAGGGTTGGTTCAAATAAAAGCGAACCAAACCGCGGTTCGGTTCTTTGCTCATGCCTGTTAGTTTTAAGACGTACTAGCCTAGTCACTAATCGCCTTTCTAACACTGCCAGCACTCTCCTCGGGGTCACCTCCAAAGGTCCCTGGGTGCCTGACTTAGCGTCAGCCCCTATCCAAGGGTCCGAGTGTGTAGAGAGAGAAGCTTGCAGTAGTACCTTGGTTGTCGTAGCAGGCGTTCCTTCCTAGGCGTTGTCAAAACTTTGAACACTTAAGGCGTTATTGCAGCAATTCCGAGAGAAAGAAATCCACTCAAGTTATGTCTAAAACAAGCAAGGACACGCAAATTTATACTAGGGCTAGATAATTCTAGTTTCCTACCTTGTTTTACGTTTCTTTGTTTCCATACTCGTAGTGCGAACACACAATGAGCTTTCCCTCCAGTTGAGCTTTCCCTCCAGTTTATTTCCTGACTTGGCACGCTCTCGAGGCGTTGCCGAAATAATTCGAAAACCGCGCGCGCTGAGTTCCGACAGCGGCGATTCGAACATTTCACTTCGCGCCTTTTACGAACAGTTACGATGAAGCCCGTTCGAATTCTGTACGAGTCAATATGTCGGTGGCGATCAGCTTCGACTCGATCAGCAACTCAATCAGCACCCAACTGGTGCTCACCACCTGTGCTTTGCTTTCGAGGCGTGAACGCCAACTCGTTCCGAGTTAAATAACATGTCGCAAGCATGTTAACACTTGCATTGCTCCCACGTGTCGCAAATAGCTGCTCGCAAACTGACGAAATGAACACACTGCATGAGCAGCGACCAATCAGATCCCTTCGGAAGTCGCAGCGCGAGCAGCTGATTGCTCGCTAATGAACCGAACTCGCCGCACGAACATCAGCCAATCCATTCCCCCAAAACTAGTGGTACGAACAGCTGCAAACTCACTTCTCAACTCGAACTTGCATCTTGGGCAAGAACCGCTCGCTCTCATTGGTCCAGAAAGCACTCAACTCGAACTTGCACCCACCCAAATCCGAACTCACCTTTTGAGCAGCGAACTGCAACCTCATTGGTCAATGTTCAGTTCGCCCCTCCCACTCTGAACACCACGTTTTCATCCCTGCCTTGCTCCCATTGGTCGAAATCAAGGGGCTGAACTGATTTCGCCCCTCCCACTCAAAACACCACCATTTCCCCCATGGCTTGCTCCCTTTGGTCGAGACCTCAGTTGACTTTGTCTCGAAAATTGGAAACCCGTTTCCGCTTCAGCCCCAAGCTAAATATTCTTGCGCACCCCATATAAAGTGAAATCGGCTGATTGAATTACAGAAGATGATTTCTGTATTCAACAATGCCAGGGGTCAAACATTTGTTGGAAAGTGAGGACAACGTGTTTGAGATTTTGCTCATGCCTGTGCAGTGCAAAGTGTTTGTGTCATATGGTACAAGCAGCATGGTTCTTCATTGTCACTTATAAATCTGCAAACCTTTCTTTTGCAGTCATCTTGTTCATGTCCCAAAGCAGCTCTGCCCCTTGCTTCTGCATGCCGGCAGGTCATTGTCAAATAACCAGCTCACTGGAAAGCTCCCTCCGTCCATCTGCAACCTCACCCAACTGGTCACCATGTGCTGCCTTCTCATCCTGCCAACCTTGCTGTTGCGGGATTTGTGCTCTTGAGGTGTAAACTCATCATGGAATAACGCAGCCCTCACATCCCCGCCACAACAGTCTTTCATTCAGTTCCTTGCTCGCACCATCATTAGTCGCTGGCGCCACCATCATGCCAAGCATGAAAGTCGTCCTCGTTCTCCATACTCAACAAGCTCTCTACCTCTGTACTCCATGCTCCTCCCCAGGCTCCTCCACAACAATTTTTTCTATGGGGTATTTCCTTCCTGCCTCTTCAAGCATTGCCTGCACCGAATGTGAGGATCTTACCTTAGAAGTTGTAACACTTGCATAACAATATAGACACAAAGCTGCAATTTTCCATCTTTGTTTGTCTTGAGAATGCTAAATACTATAGCCTCCGAATGAGCATGGCTGGTAGCGGCCAGCTCATCACAAGCCGAGTAGTGGTCCTCCCAGGCTTGTAGCCCGATCAAATCAGTTTGGCCAGAACGGTTCGGAGTTGAACCTTTAATTGTGCGACTTAAACCGTTCGAGTCTGCTTGTCCATTTTTCCTGATTCGTGTCGAACTGAACTGGCTAGATGCAATTTGGTGTTTCGGTTGAATCGGGGGGGGGGGGGGAGGGAGGGAGGGGGGGATCAACTCTTAATTCAGGGTATTTAGATGTCTTTTTTGCATATCCATCCCTATTTCACCTTGTGAAACCCAATTTTGAGTTTCTGGTGTATCTGTAAAAACACCTAGGGTTTGCGAAAAGAGCGCGTCTAGTGTTTAAATCTTAACATTTGAGAAAATGGTGGAAGCTGAGGTTTACTATAGTGAAATATTACTGCCTAGATTTCCCACACCACCATATCCCCTGTTACAGTTTTCTTGATAAAATTTTCATAAAATATTTTAAACATGTAGAACGATGTCAGAATCAACGTGACTAGAGCTTTAACGAAACGGACAGACTAAACCAGTTTCGAGTCGAACACCCTTTGGCTCGAGTTGATTTTTTGTGCCAGTCCTCGAGCTCTAGCTTCCCTGTATTCACTTTGACCTGAACTGAACCGGTCTGGTTCAGTTAGCAAACTCTTTGACACGGTTAGAGTTTGTGATTTGCTCATGTCGTAGAATGACCACCAACAAGAGAACGGCAACCCTTTCACTGGCATTTGAGGTTTGGCCTTTCCATCCAACCACATCCAAGGTCAGTGGTTTCTTGGGTTGCTCCTTTCATTTCGAGTTGATCTTCCTCACGCTTGCTCTGGCCAGTTATATATGCTCTTTCTTGGGCTGAGCATAAGAACAAACTTGGTTTGGTTTGAACAAAACGGCACATTTCTTTTCCCCAAAATGTTCAACCTGAACATTTCTACTCGATGTTTGGGTTGTGTTATAGTCACAATAAGTTCAAGTGTGCCTAAAACGAAAGATACACTGCAGAGACGAATTTCGGCAGAACGGCTTCAAACGTTGATTGATAGTGTTCTGGTCACAGCTCCAAATGACAAGTTCTAAATTGGATTTGAGAACAAACTTGGTTTGGTTTGAACCAAACGGCACATTTCTTTTCCCCAAAATGTTCAACCTGAACATTTCTACTCGATGTTTGGGTTGTGTTATAGTCACAATAAGTTCAAGTGTGCCTAAAACGAAAGATACACTGCAGAGACGAATTTCGGCAGAACGGCTTCAAACGTTGATTGATAGTGTTCTGGTCACAGCTCCAAATGACAAGTTCTAAATTGGATTTGGAAAGCCTTAATGTCGTCTACATTAAGCGATTTGAATCACTCAATTTGATTAAGATTTGACGATGTGACCAATAGTTTGAGTGAACGGTGGTCTAGCAGCAGCAACTATTGTCTTAGAGCACAAACTACGAGAAGTTATGAGTTGGGAATGACTCCAGCCTTTACAAACCCCGAGAGCTGGCACAGCGCCACACAGTCCCCAACCACGAAGGGTCTCGAAACTACCTACCATAAGGGCCTACATTAATGTAACTATTTCCACTATCTCAGTGTTTACCCTTTTGGCGAGCTTCAAAATCACTTGTGTCTTGAAACCTTTTCGATGTTCATCCTTTATACTTGGACATTAAACGCCATCTGTTAGTGTTAGCCCTCAATCTCACATTTTGTACTTACATTATTTATATCCAAGTGTAGTGTAGTTTGCACTTTGTGTTTGGTTGGGTGTACACCCATATCCCAACCAAACCCAAATGTGATCTCCAAGCAATCTCCAACCCACCAATTGGAGATTGCTTTGGGAATACTCCCAATTTCTAGAGATTGCCCCCGATTCCCCTCCCCATCCATTCCCTATTCATCCTGGATGTACTTGAAGAGCTTCAAGCTCATTACTAATGTATGGATTCTAATCTCTAGTTCTCACACCATCTACTAAAAACATGTTCGACCCGAACCGAGCATGTTGTGTTCTAGTTTCCTGCATGTCAAAAAATATGTGGCGAACATGTTCCTGTTTGGCAAATGCTCATGCTGATGCGGCGGCGCTCCTTGAGCTGAGAAAAAGAAAACATTTTTATTAACATGTTATTCTTTTCACATGCATACCACAACCCATCCAGTGACATCAGCAACAACACCTTCTACGGCCCCATCAACAGCAACTTCCGCAGCATGATTCCTGACAATGACGCTCTGCTCAACATCGCAGGCAACTTCTTCTATGGGGACCCCATGCTCTATGCCGATGGCTGCCAGTTCTGCCCCTCGGGGGTCATTCAACCCCTGGTACTCGAAATGACAGATCTTCTTAGAATCGACTTGGGCCGCTGTGCAGCCTTTAAGAACAAACTAGCAGGGGCCAACAAGCACGGTGAGGCTAGTCTGCGGCAGAATTGTTTTACGGTGAGGCAGGAGATGGAGTGCACTTCAAACGAGATGCAGCGCAGCAGCGACGAGTGCCTGACATTCTGCAGCATGTCGCGGGAGCTGGGGCCGTGCGACGGGCACGGAGCGTGTGTGCCGCCGCATGCGGGGGCAGCAGAGGCGCGCTTCACGTGTGAGTGCGACGACGGTTTCGTCACCGCCAATGGCACCCTCGGCTCCACCTGCGCCCGCCCTGCTCCGCCCCCTGCTGCTGGTATGCTGTGTGATAGTAAAGAGGAATATGTTTTGGGTTTAACACTTGCTGGGAAGGTTACCCTTCTTGCATGTACCTTGTAGCTGCAAATATCTCTTTAGTCAGTCTCCTGTCTCCTTCCTCCCCATGCCCCTCGCCTCTCCAGCCCTCTCTACGTGTGCAGTGGTGGGCATCGCTGTGGGCTCTACTGCTGCCTTTGCTCTCCTCCTCGCTCTTATTGTCGCGCTGCTCTGGCCCCGTCAACGCAGTGAGACCCTTCGCAACTCCCATCCTCCCAGCCGTACCTCACACATAAAAGCTCAGTGAAGGCAAGCACGCATATAGCATGCATGGAGTTGTTAAGCACTTTGGACTAGCCCTGCCTTTCATGCACTCCACCTTTGATGTACTCTACCTTTTATGCACTCTGCCTTTGATGCACTCTGCCTTTGATGCACTCTGCCTTTGATGCACCCTGCCTTTGATGCACGTTGAATTTTATGCACTCTACCTCTAATTCACTCTGCTTATGATGCAACCATGGCATTTGGCAGGGAAATGGAGCGACCTGGACGTTTGTCACGAGTTCAGTATCGGGGAGATTCTGCGGGCGACAGACAACTGGTCAAGCGAGAACGTGTTGGGGAAGGGCGGCTTTGCCACAGTCTACAAGGGCGTGTCGGAGAAGGGCGAGCTGTGGGCCATCAAGTGCAACAAGCTCATGTCCAACGACTTCGAGAAGGAGGTCAGCCAGGGAAACGCGTGGACCAGGGGGGCTTGGAGTGACAATGGTGTTGTTAAGACATTTTGACGAAGATATTTCCTTGTATCGATGGACCATACTGGATTCAGCGCAGTCAGGTAGTCTCGACTTTGGAGCCAAACATGTGCTTTACAGTTTTCATAACAGGTGCTTTGTTGGATGTGTGATCATATTATGAATCATGATGAGCTCATATCATGAATCATTGGCAGCACTGGCACTCCTTGACCGCCCCCCCTCTCCCTGCAACAGTTGTGTGCATGACGCCGTTGCCATTTACTAGTGCTTCCTGAACCTCCCTCATACCTCCAATGAGGTGGCAGGTGCGGGCGATGGCGTCGGTCGCTGCGGCATCAGATCGTTCCCTCAACCCTCGTTTTGTCTGCACTGACACTCCCTGAAACCCCTTTAGGTGCGGGCGATGGCGTCGCTGCGGCATGAGCACGTGGTGCGCCTGTTGGGCTTCTGCCTACATCAGAACGTGGAGAGCGGCCAGCAGGAGCAGATCCTCGTCTACGAGTTCGTGCCCAACGGGGACCTCAAGTTCCACATCCACGACTGCAAGAGTAAGCTCTGTGAAGAAGAGATTCCTGTAAGCTCTGTCAAGTACCACATACACGATTCTAAGAGTATGTCCCACGCTCCCTACATTTTGAGAAAATTGAGTGCCCAGCGGGGACCTCAAGTATCACAATCATGACTCCACGTGTTCGCTCTCTCTCCCTCCTTGGCCTGACCATTTTCTGCTGGAACTGCTTCTCAAGTTCCGAGCTGGTTTTTGAGAATTCTAAAATACCAGCTCGTATCATATGGCCTCCAATTTCCTGGTTTATTACTCGCTTGGAAGTTACCAGAAAAGTTACAGAACTTTCTGGTTAAAGAGAGATTCATCTCAAGATAGCAATGTGATTCAATGTGGGTTACATACCTGCCATGTGGGTACCTACTGCATGACAAGAGGGTACCTGTATGCCAGCTTTACTGTTTGGAAGCGCGACCCATCAAGACAGACGAAGCACCAAGCAATGTTTATGCAATGTCTGAATCTTTGTTCTAGGTTTCTTACGAGACACGGAACTGTTAGGTACAAGTAGTGATTGTTAGGTAGCGTGCAAGTTTAGTAGGATTCGGAACCCGATGAAGGCTTAAAAAGCCGAACGCGCGTACGCTCTGAACCACTTGTAATATACCGATTTAATACTACTACACTTACCTAAATGTGTTCTCGTCTCGTACTCAGTGAGTTTAATACCTCTCAGATTAGTCATCACTGGTCGGTCTAACGGAGCTTGCTGCTTTCTACCCGTTTCTCAGTTTAAGAGCATTGTTCATAATCGGAGATTATCCGAGCTCGAAATCTATGACTCTAAGTGTATGCTCCCTTGTGCCCTTCAACCTGACGAAAAAACATTCTATGTAAATGGTGCCTTTCATTATCGTGTCGCTCGTTCTTTGATTCCTCCTGTGTGCTGTTACTCATGCACTATGTACATTAATATAGATATATACATACTCTAGATTTGCAGGTCCACCATACATCCTTGATATTTTATTTCTTTGTTCTATGATACATTTTGTTCATATCAACACAAAGGCTTCACTCTCTTGTGTCCCACTGCATGTCAAACTAATATTCTGAGGTCGCAGTTGTTTGCGGTTCAAACTTCAAGCTGCTACTTGGAAGACTACTTGTACATGCTTTATTCCTCACATATTACGTTCCCTTCTACTCCTCGTCTGCCCCAGCGCCCCTGACCCTTAAGCAGAGGCTGCAGCTGGCGGTGGGGGCAGCGGAGGGAGTGGCATATCTGCACAGCTTCGCGACGCCCATCGTGCACCGCGACCTCAAGCCCGGCAACATCCTCGTCACACAAGATTACCAGGTGGGGCTGGCTGTGGGAAGAACAGAAGCAGTACAAGCAGGCAAAACATGTGGAGGCACAGTATAGAAAGATCACAAACTCGTGAAAGCACTACCAGAAGGTGAGTAGGAAGCAGGGGATATTAATGTTAGCCCTCAATCTCACATTTGTACTTGTACTTTTTACATCCTAGTTTAGTGTAGCTTGCACTTTGTGTTTGGTTGGATGTACACCCGCATCCCAACCAAACCCAAAATGTGATCTCCAAGCAATCTCCAACCCACCAATTGGAGATTGCCGTGCGATTAACCCCAATTCCCTAGGATTGCCCCCGATTCTCTCCCCACCCTTACATTGCCCATTTCCAATGTACTTACAGAGCCTTGAGCTCATTATTAATGCATGGATTCTGAGCTCAAGTTCTAACAGGGGAAGCAAAGCGTTCCTGTATTTTTCAGTGCCCCTCTTCTGGAGTGATGGAAAAAAATACATGAGATAGGAAATAGCATAAGGATATGCAAGGCTGGTGAAAGCTGGCAACCACAATGGGTGGTGTGGAAATGGTCAAGACATGGGCCAACTCGTGGTGTGTGAGTCATCTCAAATAACTCGAGGTCCAATTCGATATGGTGTAACGGTCAGCCTGGCAAGGTTGTCATTGATTAGGATCACGTTGTCAGTGTATACCGAATGTAGAAGCAAGAGTATGCGAGCTTGGCATGCCACTCTCTGAGGGTCTGCTTGTCTCTCCCTTTTCTACTAGGTGGCTAAGAAAGGGGAAAAAAAAAAAGCAGAGGACTGAATGACTTTAAGGGGCAGCCCATGGGCCAAGATGAGATAAGTTTGAGAAAAATGGTGCTCACGTAGGGGTAGCTAAAGGGAGTACAACACGGGCTGTGAACAGTACACCCCCATGTGTGAGGAGTGCGAGCGGTAACCGAAATCTAAAGCAACAGGATGGCAGATGTGGTCTTGGTGCAACACAAATTCGCATAGATGCTGTACAGAGGAAGGCCGCATAGAAGATATTGTGCGCCTATTGTGCGTACGGGGCTGGAGTCTGTCTGAATGTCGTCAACGGCTGTGGACCTGTGTATGATGTTGGCTGTACCATTGTAGTGCCATTCCGTTGGGAACTATTACTAAGTGTTGAGATCCCATTGCTTGAAGCAATTAGCTCCTAAATGTACAGCAAAAACACGACCTAGTTGGATGTGATGCCTACTCGGCAAAATGGCAGTGATGGTCGTGAGGACAGAGCGATTGCATATGTTCTTGATTGGGCCATAAACTACACTATGCAGGTGAGTTTCTCCTGTATGTTTTGTATATTTTCCTCTGTCCCAATGGTTGTGTGTGGCTGTATGCGTGCGTATGTGCGTGCGTGTGTGTATGCGTGCGTGTGGGTGTGTGTGTGCATGTGCATGCGTATGTGTGCATGTTCACACGTGCATGCATGCATGTGTGTCTGTGTGCGTGCATGTGAGTGTGTCTGTGTGTGCGTGTGCCTGCATGAGTGGGGGCATGGTGGATGTGTGAGTGCCTGCGTGTTACAGGCCAAGATAGCGGACTTCGGGTTACTGAAAAAGCTAAGCCATGAAGGAGAGCATGATGATCAGACGCGAATAGCTGGGACTCCAGGATACGTGGACCCGGATTACAACCGTTCCAATGTGGTGACCGAAAAGTCCGACGTCTATAGGTGGGTTGTTTGAAGCAGAATACACGGCTTCATGACAGCAGAAATACAGCTCTACGAAAATAGGATACGCCAAAGCAACTACAGAGTGATAATGATAATTCATTCGCCCTAGATATCATCATGTCTCATTCATATTTTGGCGGATTCCATGCCTAAAATAACAGAGTCCTAACAAAAACTGAGTCCTCATTCCGGTTGAATTGATGTACATCTTCTCCCACTCCCCTGCCACTGTGAAACCCCACGTTTACAGCTTTGGCGTGGTGCTACTTGAGCTCTTGACTGTGCAGAGGACCAATGTGAGAGGAGGAACTGACGAGCATATTTGTGAATGGGTGAGGGCATGGGCTCTTGTGGTGAACATACTCCCTGGCTAAGATAGTGAAAGAGCCTTCCAGTATGCCACCGTTTTTACCCAAGACCCTTATGCCGTCCAATGCCTCCCATTGTGGCTTGTGTCCCTCCACTGGTGAACTAGTCTCGTTTATGTGCTGTAGCTTGTTTTGGCCTTATCTTAAATTATCAGCCAGCTTTAGCCTTAGTTTCCTTCAGTCTCAGCTTCAGTTCAGCTTCCTGAACACCCCAACCTACTCTATACCTTTGTACTCTCACCTACCTAGTAAGATATTTTCACCTTCTCATCATCCATGGCTCTTAGGTTCTTGATTTCAACATCCACCAATTCTACAACACCCAAACCCACCCTCCTACCCCTCCTCACCCACCCATCCCCCTCTCCTCATCCCCCATCGCATCACAGGCGACGCCCAAGGTGCAGACGTACGAGTTTAGCGAGCTCCCCCTTCCCTCGACCCACCTGCCCTGCCCCTGCCCCTGCCCCTCCCCCTGCACAGGCAGCGCGCAAGGTGCAGGCGTACGAGTTCAGCGAGCTGAAGGACGCGGCACTGGAGGCCCCGGAGGAGGCGGTGGTGGAGTTTGCCGACATCGCTCTTGACTGCGTCAAGGTGCCCGGCTCCCGCCGCCCCCCCATGAAGGACGTTGCCCGCCGCCTGCAGGCGCTCCTCTCCAAGCACTGCAGCGAGACAGAGTGCGCTCCCCTTGAACCGAACATACCCATGAAGGAGAGCTCGAATGAGACTATGGAGGAGAGTCTGGAGAGGCTGACGGGTGGTGGCAGGGATACTTTTGATAGGAGTGGTATTTCAAAGGAGTTCTGAGGGTTTACTGTTGGAAGCTCGAGCTGGAATTTCACACATGCTTGTATTGATGCCAACTTGGGATTTTTGGGATCTGAGAAAGGGCTCCAAAGTTCTCGTTATTTTGCACCATTTGACAACTTTGCAGTACGGATGATGGGAATGATTCATCAAGCCCGTGAAGCTGTTGTTGACTTTGAGTCTTTCATAATTTATTCCTTGAATAACTCATCCCCTAGATATTGTATGACCCCGAATAGACGCCCTTAGGGGCTTATAGTTTTTTTGTCCTTTGTTTTGTTAGGGGCTTGTAATCAGGTCTTTTCTAATTGCTCCGGGGCTTATCCTAAACACTATTTTTACGGTACCTGTTTTCGAAAACACAACCAACATCAATATGACATCTTGCTGTATAGAAATATTCCCAAAAAGAGGGGGGGGCGTGTAACTGGCATTGGTCTTATCGACTCGTCTCTTGTACCGTATCCTCCAAATACAATATCATCGTTCTACCACCACCCATTTTCGTGCCTTTCTCTTCACCTCGTCGCAAAGGGTAGCTGATGCGGAGATAACTACTACAACGGGAGCTAGACTACGGGCTAGGCACGGGAGCTCGTGTGATCTCTGCGTTCGTTGGTCCTTAGTCGTTTTCCTAGTGTTCACACTGCTTGCTAGTGCACGGGGCAATTTGGCAAGAGTTTCACTAGAGAAGGTTGACAACAATAATACAATGAAGTTGGCATGGCAAGACTACATCAGAGCTAGCATTCAGGTCGGTCGACTGCCAGCGCAGCATGGTCAACCGCGCTCCAGCAGTTCAAAGTCGACGACGTGCCAACGTCGCAGGTTGACGGCGTGCCAACGCTGCTCACGCAGAACAGCAGCGCACCCGCTTCGCAGGTGCTCGCAGATTATTGGCGGGCTGAGCCTGGTCACCTGTACAACGCACACACCACGTCAACCTGGCGCTAATGACTGCTTCTGATCAGCCACGTCGACCTCGGGATACCACCACCGAGGTCGGGCTCGCCAACTTCGCCTGGGCGACCGTCGCACTTCTCCGCAGAACCTCGTCACCCAGGTAACCTGGTCGACCAGGCAACCACGTCGACCATCTGCTCCCGTACGTGCCCGTCGACCTCCCAAGTCGACAGCCACCTCCAAGTCGACCTCGCCAGGTCGACCACGCCCCTGGTCGACCAGCTCCAGGTCGACCAGCAGTCCTGGTTGACCAGCTTCATGTCGACCAGCGCTGTTGTCGGCCGACCACCCAAGTCGGCTACCCGAAGTCGGCGTCACGAAGTTGACGCCCAGCTAGTCGACGCCCAACTGCTCGGCGTCCTGAGTCGAGGTCGACGTCGGCCCCTCCTTCGTCGACCACCAGATCAGGTCGACCACCAGCAGGTCGACCAGCAGGCCTGGTCGACCAACCACCAGGTCGACCAGCAGTCCGTCAGTCGACCACCGAAGTCGGCTTCCCCAAGTTGACGTCACCAAGTTGACGTCCTCCGCAGGTCGACTTCCCAAGTCGACCTCCCTGAAGTCGGCGCCACCCTGAAGTCGGCGCCACCCTGAAGTCGGCGCCCGTACAGTGGTCTCTGTGCAGATCGACCTCCTCGTCAACCGGCTCGCCCACTGCTGCAGGTCGGCTGCTCCCCTCACACCCGACCACGAAGTCGGCTCCGCCCAAGCGAGGACGGGGCCAACACACAACTCCCGTTGACACTCCCCTGCCGCGTTCACGCTTGGGCCCCCAGCCCACAAGGCAGTACTCCTCGGAGAATAGCTCGTCGACGTGCACCCAACTTACAGCACGTCGTCCACCGCACCAGCCATGCAAGAGGGCATGGCACCTACGGCTGCACGTCGTCAACTTCGTCGCCCACGTCGGCCAAGCGCACCTGGCCGATGGCGACGGAGCACAGGTTGAAGGCCGGATAGTGCAGCGACTTCGTCAGGAAGTCAACCGGCTGCTCAGTTGTCGGGATGTACCTCAGCAAGAACTTCCCGAGCTTCACCATGTGCTGCAGCCAGGCCTGTCGCCGCTCCATGTGCTTGAGCTTGCCTGTCAACCCCATGCCCTCGGGGACCGTGATGGCCAACTTGTTGTCCACCCGAAGGATGGTCGGCTTCCCGGCATTCAGCTGCCGGAACTCTACGAGGAGGAAGCGAAGTCGGCGTCCCTCCTTGCCGGCTTCGGTGGCCGCCACGTACTCCGACTCGGTCGACGACAACGTCGCGCACTTGATGCGCTGGCTCGACCAGGAGACCACGGCCCCTCCGTAGACGAACACGTAGTCGCCCGTGCTCGTCCTGTTTTGCTTGTCACCGGCGTCGTCGGCGTCTACGTAGCCGACCAGCTCCAGCGACTCAGGTCCACCGCCGAACTCCAGGGCGGTGTCTCGCGTGTTGGCGAGGTAGGCGAGGCAGCGGTCGACCTCGCACCAGTGCTGGTCGCTCCTCACCGTGAGGCCGCTCCCCAGCTTGCTGCAGGCGAAGGCGATGTCCGGCCTCGTCGTCGTCGCCGCGATCTGCAGCGAGCCGACCTTCTGCCGGTACTCCTCTTCTTGTCGCTCCTGTGCCTCCTCGTCGTCGAAGGTGAGTTCGGCGTAGGCGTCGACCGAGTCCGGCTTCTTCGGGGTGCGCCCGTTCTGCTCCTCGTCGATGAAGCGCCTACGCAGCTTGTCGGCGTAGCCCTGCTGGTGCAGCCACAGCTTCCCCGCCGACCTGTCGCGGACGATCTCCAGCCCAAGGTACTTCTGCACCGGCGAGATCTCACGCAGCTCGAAGGCGGACTCCAGCAGCTCCTTCAGCTCCTTCAGCGTCTCGGTGCTGCTGCTGGCGGCAAGCAGGTCGTCGACGTAGACCAGCACCCAGCAGGCCACTCCGGCCTTGCCGACCTTGAAGTAGAGAGCCTCGTCGACCTGGCTCTTCTTCCACCCGGCGTCGACCAGCACGTCGTTGAGCGCCAAGTACCACAGCAGCGGCGACTGCTTCAGCCCGTACAGGCTCTTCAGCAGCTTGCACACCCGGCCGATTCCGTCGTTGAAGTAGTCCGGCTGAGACATGTAGAGCACCCGGTCGAGCTTGCTCTGCAGAAAGGCATTCTTCATGTCGAGCTGCATCAGGTTGAGGTTGAGGACGGCAACGATGCTGAGGAAGATCCTCAGGGTGACGTAGCTGCCCACCGGCGCGAACGTCTCGTCGTAGTCGGCGCCATACACCTGGGTGAAGCCCTTCACGACCAGCCTTGCCTTCTCGCACTCGACGGTGTCGTCGACGTGGTACTTCGTCGTCAACACCCACCGGTTCTTCATGATGTTGACCCCCGGCGGGCGTTCAACCAGCTCCCAAGTGCCCATATTGATGAGGCTACGGATCTCCTCCTCCATGGCGGCCTTCACCGCTGGGCCCTTCCAGCTCGCCAACGCCTCCTTCACCGTCATCGCCGAGATGTCCCAACGGTGTTCGGGGTCGGCATGCATGTCGGGGTCGAGCTCCGGAAACTCCTCATCCTCCTCGGCGCCGTCGTACAGCAGGTCGTCGTCATTGTCCACGTCGTACACCGTGGTGAAGGCAGCGGGGACGAAGAAGTCCGGCGGCCTCCGAAGTCGGCATGACTTCCGGGGTTCAGGCCGAACCTCCACCACGTCACTCTTGGTGGACTCCCCGGCGTCCCCTCCTTCGTCACCGTCTGCACTGCCCTCGTCGTCCTGCTGCACCTCAGTCGACTGCCTGGTCGACCTCTCCCCTGTGGTCGGCTTCCCTGCCGACTGCCTGGTTGCCGACTGCTCCGTGGTCGGCTTCACTGCTGCATGCTCCCCTGTCGGCTGCTGCTCCTCGACCTGCTCCTCCCTTGTCGACGTCGGCTTCAATCCCGCGTCGACCTGCCTCTCGTCACGTCGGCCACCGGCGATGCTCTTGGCCGGCGCCGAAGGCGACGTCCCACTACTCCCCTCATCGCCGGAGGCCGACATAGGAGTCAGCCCGTGCAAGTCGGCCACGAGGGGAGGGGCAGGGGTCGTAGGGGAAGGGGAAGGAGGACGGACGACCTCGGCGTCCTCAGCAGCAAGCTCACCGACCTCGGCGAGCAGAGGCAGCGTTGCCGCCGAGGTGTCGGTCGGCGGGGTAGTAGGCGTCCGGCCTGACACCGGCCCGTGCTCCGACTTCCACACCTCCAGCGACATATCCTCGTAGAACACCACGTCCGACGTGGTGACCACCCGGTTGGCGTCGATGTCGAGGAGCTCCCAGCCCTTGCTCTCCCCCGACACGCCAAGGTGAAGGCCCCACCTGGCCTTCGGCTTCAGCTTCCCACCACGCTGCTGCTCGGGGACAAGGAACTGCACCATGCAGCCCCACACCCGCGCCATCGACAAGTCGGGCTTCTGCCCGGTCAGCAGCTGATACGGCGTCGTCCCCGGCGGCAGCGTCGACCGCTCAAGGCAGTTGCGGACCCAGACGGCCTGCCGCAGAGCGAGGTGCCACCAGTGGTGCTGCACGCCCATGTGCAGCAGCATCGTCCGCACCGACTCCACCACCGTCCGCATCTCTCTCTCCGCCATGCCGTTCTGCTGCGGGGTGTACGGGCAGGTCAGGTCGTGGACGATCATCTGTCCGTCCACGAAGTCGGTGAACCTCTTCCCGAGGAACTCCCCTCCTCGGTCCGAGCGCAGCATCAGCACCGACTTCTTCGTCTGCCTCTTCACCAACACCAGCCACTTCTGGAACTCCAACAGCACGTCCGACTTCTTGGCAACCGTCCTCACCCACACGAAGTGGGTCTTGCGGTCCTTCAGCAGCAGGAAGTACAGGCTGCCGTCCTTGGCAGCCACGCGGAATGGCCCGCACAGGTCGATGTGCACGTCGGCCAGCACGTCGTCGGCGTCGGAGCCTTGGTCGGGGAAGGTGTGCCGCGCCAGCTTCCCGCCGACGCACGAGACACACGGGGAGTCGGCGACCGTCGCGACTTGAGGTCCAGCCCAATGGCGACCTCGTTCTTCGCCGAGCTCCTGATG